AATGTTCCCTATCATCTGCTAGAAAATGGCACAGGCTGATTATACCCCACATGGTGTATTAATTGTAGCATACCTCTGGGAATCCTCTTCTAATCGCAATTGCAGGTACACATGGCTCTTTTCCAGCTTCATAAAGGACAGCACCCCCCTGCCAGTTTTGCACATAAGTCCTCTAAGTGAGGGATGGGTATTTATCCAACAGTGAAAAGTGATTTACCATTTGTTTAAAGTTCCCAAAATGGTAAACCAATCCATCCAGCTTCACAATTGGTATGACCGGTGTTACCCATTCTGCAATTGGACAAGTTTGTTGATTCCTTCACTTTCCAGCCTCCTGATTTCTCCCTATATTGTTGCAAAAGGCACTGGGAAGGCATTGCAGAATTGTGGAATTGCTTCTTGGTCACTGTGTAAGGTGATCTTGGTCCCTTTGATAGTCCCTAGACCTACCTGAAAATTTTCTGGGTATTTAATTAGGATTTCATTCAGGCAGCCGTTTTTTAATTGAAAAATGCTCAACCAATCAAGTTGAATCTTTCTCACCAAATTTCACCCCATCAAGTTTGGCCCCAAGCCTTTTATTACAATCAGTGGTAACTGAACCAGTTGCTTCTCTAAGAGACCGGAACTGATGTTGTACCCTTAATCTGTAAAGGTTCCTCAGTATAGGTTCCAGCCTGTTTGAGGTCTTACGCAAACTTAAGGGTTGGAGTCCAGAGGGAATTTAGGATAAGAGTGGTTCTGCAATCACTGATACAACTGCGCCAGTATTCATTTCCATCTGAACTGGATGATCATTTATATTGATCGGTTCTGACTTGGATGTTGCTAAACAATTTAACTGTTCAAAACCAGCTGTAAGTGCACTTTCCTGGGTGTGCACTCTCCTGGATACTGGCCTACGAGTTCTCTTACTCAATTCAGTTCTAGTGGGATTCTTTTGCTGACTTGAGTCTACACACCGGCAGCAACTATAATGGTCTTCCAACCCGGATCCTCGAGAAAATTTTAACTTGTTTGGCCGATGCATGTCCTTCTTTTGGTGTTTTGCTGTGGGTTACCTAGAGTCTCTCTGTTCAGGATATGTTTTGAGTGAGACTATGTAATTGCCTTTACTCAATGGTGTTCCCCAAGCTCAGTTGGGTGTCTAGTTCCATCAGAATACTCTGTAATTCATAAATTCTGAGGAAGGTCACTGGACCTGAAATGTTAACTCTGTTTTTTCCTTCACAGATGCTGCCAGATCTGCTGAGCTTTTCCAGCAACTTTGTTTTTGTTCTGTAATTTATCAGCTCCACTTGCTGCATTTTCTAATGATAAAGCCAGTTGTAGTGTCTGTTTGAAGTCCAGTTGGTCTTCAGCTAGTAGTAACCAGCTGTATGGTTACACCATCAATCCCACATACCAAATGGTCTCTCAGCATCTTACTTAGGTTTAAATCAAAACCACATGCCTCTGCCAATCATCTTAGTTTTGTCAAAAATCCTGATACAGACTTCCCCCTGGTTCTTGAACTGCTGACAGAAATTGACAGTGTCTCAGAATTAGAGGAGGCTTGGAGTCGTAATATTCCTTAGCTCAACCCGTCAAATTTTAAATTGTTTTAATATCTGGCACCTCAGGGAAAGATAGGCTCCTAATATCCAAATAAGCTGTGGGTCCACAAGCTGTCAGGAGAATTACTCGTTTCTTTTCATCTGCCCCAGCCTGGGAAAAGTACTGCTTTCCTTCCACATGGTGGATCCAGTTTTCAATGGCAGGATTGAAGGAGTCAACTTCCCAAATAATGGCACGATGCCAGAAATGCTTATCCCAACTTAAAGTTGACTGTTGTGAGTAAATCTCTTCAGGAGTGCATTTTTCTCTCATTGCCACTGAAATAACTCCATGAAAGACAATATCCTGTCAGCAAGTCACCCTTTATTTACATGTGCATAGTACATGACACTGACCCAGCTAGCTCAGAGCTGGCTCCTAGAGTGCACAGAACCCCTGACACTCCTGTTTGTATCTGTCAGCCAGGGCTCTCCGATTGGACCAGGTTAACAGGGAACTCATATTCTATGATATTCAACTAGCTGACCTTGTTCCAATCACCACAGAGTCCCTAATGGCCCCGAAGACAGCTAAGTGTCAACTACATTGCTGTGGGTCTGGGATTGCATGTAGGCCAGACCAGGTAATGACAGAAAATTTCCTTCCCTACAGGACATTAGTGAACAAGGTGTCTTTTTTTATGATGATTGAAAGTGGTTGCCATCAAGCCTTTATTCCAGCTTTGTACCGAATTCAAATTTCACCATCTGTCATATCCTGACAGCATTGGCCTGGAGTTCTGGATTGCTAGTCCAGTGACATCACACTATTTTTACATTAGAAGCTCTCCAGAGAACACAGATGAATACAGCACAGGAACAGACATTTTGGCCCACCATATCTGTATCAACCATGATGGAGTTCTAAACTAATACCATCTGACTGCACATGGACCATATCCCTCTATTCCCTACCCGTTCATATGTCTGTCTAAATGCCTCTGAATGTTGGTATCATATCTGCTTCTACCACCTGCTCTATCAGCATGTTCCAGACACCCACCATGCTCTGTGTAAAAAATGTGCCTCCCATATCTCATTTAAACTTTCTCCCTCTCACTTTAAAGTTAGAATTTGACAATTCCAATCTTGGAATAAATGACAGTGATGGTGCAAATTGCAGCCACTGTGCACCAATGGCCAAGGGATTGAGTGTTGAAGGTGGTGGATCGGGTGCCAAACAAGCAGGGATGCTTTATCCTGGATAGTGTCGAGCTTACTGAGGGTTGTATACCTGGTCACAATGAATCTTGAGGATGAATCTCACCCAATACACTACAGAGCATACCATTACTCTCAGACAAGTCCAACAAAGGTTCTTGAAATGAAAACAAAAATTGCTGGAGAAACTCAGACGATTTTACAGCATCTATGGACAGAAAATATAGTTAACATTTTGCGTCCAGTGACGCTTCTTCTAGGACTCGAAATGTTAACTCTGCTTTCTCTCTCCATAGATGCTGCCAGACCCACTGAGTTTTTCCAGTAATTTAGGTTTTTGTTACATCTATCAATGTCTAGATTATATAGACACTGTCTCTGGCAGCTGCATTGTTCCTTAAATGTGTGGCTAATGTAGTGTTGTATTAAATGTATAGCAGAATCAACATGGCTTCATGGTAGAAAGTAGGTTTTTGAAACTGTACGAGAGATCTTTAAGCAAGCAGAGTAGATAAAGAAAAACAGGTAGATGTAGTGTATTTTAACTTTCAAAGGACTTTTGGTAATATGTTACATAAAAGCTTACAACGCAAGTTTAGTGCTCATGGTTTTAGGGGATGGAAGAATATCATGGATATAGGAATGCCTAACAAACAGAAAGCAGAGATTGTAGATAAAAGGGCAATTTATAGTTGGAAACACTAACCAGTGGGCTACCTGAAGAATCAGTGTTGGTGCCTCAACATTTTACAATCTACATACATCACTAGATTATGGGCCTGAATGTGTTGTAGCCAAATTTGCTAGTGATACTAGAATATATGGGAAAGCAAGTTGTGAGGGGAAAAGAGAGTCTGTAAAGTGGATAGTGATAGGTGATGTGACTTCTTAAAATTCTTTCACAGGATTTGGGCACTGTTGATGAACATTCAATGTCAAGCCCTAATTACCCATGAGAAGGTGGTAACAAACAGCCTTCTTGAGCTGCTCCAGTCCATGTGGTGCAGGTGCACACACAGGGCACTTACGGAAGGCCACACAAAATGACCAGGTATACAATACTCAGTAAGCTTGACACTATCCAGGAAAAAGCATCCCTGCTTGTTTGGAATGTCCCCCAGGTCAACAGCTTGGAATACAACCATCGAAACTATTGCAGCCCTATCATTTAATTATCTAGACTGACATGTGTTGTTTCCTTCCCCTGATTTGTCGCATTCATATGTGCATTAAGAGGAAATGTGCACTCTCCGTCACAGTAATACATTACATATCCTTCAGGTGCTATTATCCAATCCTGTCACATTCTTTCCTTGAGCCACTTATTTTAAAAATTTAAACAAATAGACTCCTGTTCTAACTGTGAAATACTTGTAAACTAACCTTTTATATGGTAGTTATAAGCCATAGAATCATACAGCATGGAAAAAAGACCTTTTAGTCCAAATTGTCCATATTGACCAGAGTTTCCCAAACTAAACTAACCTATAACATTTTTAACATTTGCCGTTCCTGGTGAAAGGTCATGAAATATTCAGTCTGATTCCCTTGGAGAGATGTTGCAAACCTGCCAAAGATTTTCAGCATTTTCTGTTTTTATTACCTTTCAACTGTTGAAGTACAAGTTTACAATTTTCACGCCATTTGGAATGCTTTAAATATGTTTTGACACAGTCAAAGTCACATGAGTTTCATTCCAGCATTCTGCAGTTGTAAAAATAATACTTCTGTTGGATAGGGAAGATATTTAAAAATTATTCACTTATAGGATGGGGCAAGGCCATCATTTGTTGCCCATCACTAACTGCCCCTTGAACTGAGTGTCTTACAGGCCATTTCAAAAGGTAGTTAAGAATAACCCCTTGCAGTGAGTCTGGAGTAAGTCAAAATGGTAAGGATGGCCCATGTCCTTCCCTAAATGACACTTGCAAACTCAATGGCATTTTAATGAAAATCAATCATGGTTTCATGGAGCCCCGCTGTTAATTCCAGATTTACTCATTGCATTTAAATTCCATCAAGTACTGTTGCAGATTTGGAACCCAAATCCAGGAGCATTTGCCTATTATTTAGTCATGCTACCTTTATGCAATGGTCTCTTATACCCCCAGGACTTGATGTGTTGTTTGTTTTGTCATGTGTAATTGATTTCCTCCGTCGGTTTCTCAGTTGGCTCTCTGGAGTGTTTGCTGCTGTGTGTTAAAGGGAGACGATTCAGCATGAGATCCCATTGCAGAAATAGCGATGGCAATGGCTTCCACCATGAGCAGACACCATCGTTTTTCCCAGAAGATGCACCTATCCACCATCAGTCAGGTTGGAGCTATTTACTATCCGACTCTCGCAGCTATTGGAATTCCAGGTAATCGACCGCAACCAGTTCCTGTTCATCTACTACCATCACCAGCCTTGCAGAGTGTAGGCATTTATCTTCCTTTTAGCTGTTGTCAAAAGTGAATCTTAAGATCTTGTGTTCCTCTGATTTACTTTATGTACTGTTGTTGTTTTAGGAGGAAAGTTTAGCTGCTAGATACAAAGAATTTGTGTAACATGGGCTTGAATTGCCATTACAATTTCTTAAAAAAATGAGTTGGCAGATCCAATGGGACAATAGAGATCTACAGCACACAGAAAGACCGTTCAGTTCATCAAATCAAAGACAAGCACCGAACTACTCTAATCCCATTTTCCAGCACATGGCCCATCGCAGTAAACTTCAGACAGCAGACATGGGCTTAATATCAAACTTTCAACTGTTTGGTCTGAGTGTCAAACGGAGAATTATGTTTTCTTTCCACATTTTGTCAAATATTTGACCTTCAGAACTAGACAGCAATGGAGGGGGATCTTCAGTTGTTAAGAAGAGTCATACTGGACTCAAACTGTTAGCTCTGTTTCTCTCACCACAGATGCTGCCAGTCCTTGCCCTATACCCCTTTGCATTTCAAGTGCACATCTAAATACTTCTTCAATGTTATGAAGGTTTCTGACTCTATCACCATTATAGGCAGTGAGTTCTAGATTCCATCCACTGGGTGAAAAAAATCTTCCTTACATCTCCTGTAAACCTTCTGCCCCTTGCCTGAAATCTATGCCCCTCATTCAATGATCCTTCCATCAAGGGGAAAATTTTCTTCTTGTCTACCCTATGTCCTTCATAATTTATACGTCTCAAAAATGTCCCGTCTCAATCTTCTCTGCTCAAAGGAAAACAAACAACATTTCCAAAACAAAATCAGAAATTACTGGAAATGCTCAGCAGGTCTGGCAGCATCTGTGTTGAGTTCTGAGTAAGGGTCTGAGGAAAGTTCTGAGGAAGTGTCACTCGACCCAAAATGTTAACTCTGATTTCTCTCCACAGATGCTGTCAGACCTGCTGAATTATTCCAGCAATTTCTATTTTTGTTTCTGATTTACAGCATCCATAGTTCTTTTAGTTTTTACCCAGTCTGCCCAATCTCTCTTCATAACTGAAACTGTCCAGCCCAGGCAGCATCCTGGTAGATCTCCTCTGCAGCCTCTCCAGTCTCTTTCTTATGCTAAAACTTAACCAGACGACCCACTCCCCACCAACATGTGAGAGAGATTGGAAAGGCTCAGCAGGTCTGGCAGCATATGTGAAGGAAAAAAAACAGAGTTAACGTTTCGGGTCTGGTGACCCTTCCTCAGAACTGTTAACTCTGTTTTTTCCTTCACAGATACTGCCAGGCCTGCTGAGCTTTTCTAGCAACTTTGTTTTTGTTCCTGATTTACAGCATTCACAGTTCTTTTGATTTTTATTTATGTGAGACAGCTTTTTGATTTATGGTCTTTTATATTTTGGTATATCATAGCTCCTGCCCGAGCAGCGGGTTTCTCTTTGAATCAGAGAGTTGAGTCAAGCATCCTGTCCATATCAACAAGGATAACATTTTGGGTTACAGGTGCCCAGTAGTGGCTTTCACAATCTTTTTGGAAGGCTACTGGCAAGTCGTCATGAAAGCAAGACTCTCAACACAATAAAATTGTGTTCTGCCTGACTGAACTATAACTGAGCACTAACCTGGGCCTCCGGTTTACTAACATAAAACAAAGAAATGTGGATGCTGGAAACTTAAAACAAAAACAGAAATTGCTGGAGAAACTCAGTTCTGAAGAAGAGTCACACCAGCCTCGAAATGTTAATTCTGTTTCTCTCTTCACAGATGCAGTCAGACCTGTTGAGTTTCTTCAGGATTACTAGCCAAGTGACAATTATTCTGGACTTTGTTTTTTTAAATTTGATTTGATTTATTGTAGTCCCATGAACCCAAATACAGTGAAAAGCTTGGTTTTGCCAGGAGTACAGGCAGATCATAGCAAACAAGGATTTACAGATCATAGGGTCCTTAGCCAGAGCGAGGCATTCAGGTTATAACTGCTCAGGAGGTGCACAAAGCAAGATCAACATCAGCAAGATCACCATTATTTGAAGTTGGAGAGTCCATTCAGCCATCTAATAATGGAAGGCAAGAACCTGTTCTTGAACTTTTTGGTGCGTGTGTTCAAGCTTCTGTATCTTCTGCTTGATGGAAGAGGTTGGAAGGGAGTATTATCAGGGTAGGAGGGGTCTTTGATGATGTTGGCAGTCTTTTCATGGCAATGAGAAGTGTAAATGGTGTCCATGGATGGGAGGTTGGCTTCCGTGATGGTCTGGGAATCTTTACAGACTTAGAATTTAGGTTTAGAAGAGTGGAAAGGTTATAAGAAATGTCAGTATAAGATCTGCTGTAGGGAGGTCGTGAAGAGTCACCCAGAGTCGGCATCATCTTGAAACGGCGCTTAAGCATGGGGTTTGTAAATGCACAGAATACATCACTCAAAATTCACTCTCCACACCTATGTCTGTAATTTCGAACATTGGTTATGTTTTCAATGGTTATTTCCATGTTGATGTTCACCCCACTCCCCTTATGTGAATGCATAATCTGAAAGCGCCATGAAACTTTTATCACTAGTTTTAGTCTAAAGGGAAATTAATATATATTTGAAGTCAAATCATTGCTGAGCTCTGGTGGAAGAGTGTGGCATAAATTGAACAAAGAATGGGTGCAGGCTTGACAAAATACTGTGGATGCTGGAAATCTGAAACAAACATAGTGAATGTTGAAGAAACTCAGCAGATCTGGCAGCATCTGTGGAAAGAGAAACAGCGTTAACATTTGGAGTCCCGTATGACTTCAGAGCTGAAGATCCTCCTGCATTCTTCTCTGGTTCTCTAATTCATTCCAAACATTTGACAAAGTGAATAAAATGTACTTCTCTGTTTGACACTAAACCCAGTTGGAAATTTGATATTAAACCCATGTCTTTCTTTGTGTCTGTTTTCACTCTCTCTATATATCAATCAGGGATATCTGATGTGGTGTAAAACCAAGTAACTTTCAGATAGTCACTTCATTTGCGATAATAATCAAGGCTAAAATTACTAGCTGTAGAGTACAATGTGGTTGAGGATTGGGAAAGGGAGAGCTGCAATGAGGCCTGGGTGTCCTTGTACACCAGTTACTGAAAGTAAGCATGCATATGCAGCAGGCAGAAAAGAAGGCAAATGATATGTTGGTGTTCATAGCAAGAGAATTCAAGTACAGGAGTAGGGATGTCTTGCTTCCATTGCATAGGGTCTTAGTGAGACCAGTCTTGGAGTATTCTGTGCACTTTGGGTCTCCTTTTGTAAGGAAGGATGTTCTGGCTATGGAGGGAGTACATCGAAGATGTATGAGACCGACTCCTGGGATGGCAGGGCTAATATATGAAGAGAGATTTGATCTGCTGGGATTACATTCACTGGAGTTTAGAAGAATTTGGTGGGGATTGGGGGTGGGGAGTGTGGGATCTCATAGAAACCTAAAAAAATTCTAACAGGGCTGGACAGAGTAAATGCAGGAAGGATGTTTCTGATGATGGAGGAGTCCAGAACTTGCAGTCACAGTTTAAGGATAAGAGTCAGACCATTCAGGACTGAGGTAAGGAAGAATTTCTTCACCCAGGGAAAGGTGTGCCTGTGAAATTCTCTGCCACCAAGAAGGATTAAATGTAGTTCTCGGGCCTAAAGGGATCAAAAGCTATGAGGGTCAAAGCAAGAACAGGTTATTGAGTTGGGTGATTAGCCACGATCACATTGAATGGCGGAGCGGTTGGGAAGCGTTGAACGGCCTACTCTTGCTCCTGTATTCTACATTTTATGACTAAAATAGAAACAGATGCACCTACACACTGAATTCATCAACCTGATTAGGTTACAATCCAGGATAACATTTCCTTGAAGTCCGTGCTCACATGTGTGAAGATCATTTACCGGCTGCTATTTCTGTTCCTCTGCTTCTTGCAGCCAATCTGGTGACCGTAGTGATTCTGTCTCAGGGAAACGTTGGTCTCACTAAAGGGATCACCGGGTACCTGCTGGCCATGGCAGTAGCCGATCTACTGGCTCTCATTACTGACGTGATCTTCAATCGGATTAATGACCTATATTTTCCAACATGCTTCCTGGATTACACTCCCCTCTGCAGCTTGAAATTCGTCCTGGTTTATGCGGCCTTGGACACTTCCGTCTGGTTAACAGTTGTGTTTACCTTTGATCGATTCGTTGCCATTTGTTGTCAGCAGCTGAAAAGAAAATACTGCACAGAGAAAACAGCTGCTGGGGTGATAGGGGTCGTGGCCATGCTGTTCTGTGCAAAAAATGCTCGTTGGTACTTCACTTACCAACCCCTCTATGTAATCAATAACGTGCCGTGGTTTTGTGATGTGAAACTGAGCTTCTACGATTCGGCTGCTTGGGTTACATTTGATTGGATTGATACAATTTTAACACCATGTGTCCCATTCCTTCTGATCTTGACCCTCAATGTTCTGACGGTCAGACATATCGTGGTGGCCAGCAAAGCGCGTCAAGGCTTTCAGGCCCAAAGGAACGGCGACAACCGACACGACCCAGAGATGCAGAACAGAAGAAAATCAATCATATTACTGTTTGCTGTCTCAGGCAGTTTCATGCTGCTCTGGGCCACTCATGTAGCAGTTTTCCTGTATTGGCGCATCACCCAAACATACTCTTACGAAACTTTGGAAGATCCATTTTACATCGCACTGGAAACAGGGTACATGTTGCAGGTGTTGAGCTCTTGCACGAACACGTACATTTATGCAGTCACGCAAACCAAATTCAGGGAGCAGTTAAAAAGCATGGCGAAACGCCCTTTTGTGCTGGTTCACCAACTCATTAAATAAAAATGCCACTGCGTAGCAGGCTGTGAGACAGAAGGCCATAATGTTGTGCTAACATCAGTGAATCAATCAATCAAAACAGACTCTGAGATTACTGGAGAACTGGGTCACATCCAGGGAGATAGAAACAGAGTTAATATTTTGGGTTCTGAAGTAGTGACATATTGGACCTGAAAGGTTAATTGTTTTTCTCGGATGCTGCTAGACCAGCTGAGTTCATTCAGTATTCTCCATGTTTATCTCAGATTTCCAGCACCAGAAGTATTTTGCCTTGGTTCCAAAGCCCCAGATTAAGCAAATACCGCTGGGGGAAGCCTATCTTAAAATTAAAATCAAGAATTGAAAGGTAGTAATGGCAAACAAAAAGGATCAATAATGATTTAAAACCTATATTGTTTGTAACATGTTCTAGGGAAGAAAAGCTGCTACCATTAACCAGGCTGACCAAATGTGATTACAGAGTTGTGGTAATGTCACTGGACCTAGACTCGAGCAGACTACTCCAATGTTCTGGGAATACGGGTTGAAATCCCACCACGGTGGGCTAGTGGATTTTAAAATTAAATTAATAAACCTTTAACTGAAAAATAGCCTCCGTAACAGTGATCATGAAGATATTGTTGATTGCTCTTAAATTCTATTGGGTTCACTCATGTCCTTTAGGGAGAGAAATCCACCATCCTCACTCGGTCTGGCCTATATGAATTCAGAACAACAGCAACTTATTCGATGGGCTGAATGGCTCAGTTCTGTTTTTACATGGGATTGGATCTCAGCTGCCTTCTGAAATAGCTGAACAGGCTGCTGATTTCACGGGGCAATTAGGATAGGCTCCCAAAAGGCTGGTCTTATCAGTGACACGCAGAGTTCCATGAAAGAATAACAAATCAAAATACTTGGAAGCAAATTTTCAAAATGAATCTGTTTGTAACATTTAAGTCATGTAAATCCACATTTAAGTGCAACACACACACAACACTGCACTTTAATGAAAAGGAGTCGTTTGTCTCTATGATATAACCAGCTGGAAAATTTATTACAGAAAGCACCAGAGGAACTCAACAGTCTGGCAACATGTATGGAGGGAAACTGAGTAAACATTTTAGGTCCAGTATGACTTCTTGAGAACTGAAAGAGGCTGGCAATGGTGTTTAAACAATAGTTAATGCTGTTGATAGACAGTGAGGGTGTCTAGAGCAAAAGTTAAAAGGATTACAAATCATAGAAAAGGAGGGATTCAGATATGAGATAACGTGTTAATGCTAGGTTTGAACAGGAGACAACAAGTCAGATCTACTGAGATCAAAGCTGTGTGTGTGTGTGTTTTGGAGGGGGGCGGAGGTGCAGAGTTTATTATCTAAGGCTGTTAAATTCAATGTTGAGTTCTAATGGTTGTAAAGAGCCTGAGTGGAAGGTGAGGTATGGTTCCTCCAGCTTGTGTTAAGCTTCACTGCTTGAACAAGCTGATGATGGAAGTGTTCATTAGAGAGCAAGATAGTATATTGAAGTGGCAAGCAAATGGAAAGGTCGGTGTCATCCTCACCATCAGTGCAAAGCTGTGTCACAAAGCGGTGTCCCATTCTGTGTTTGGTCTTGCCCAGGTAAAGGAGACTGCATTGTTTGCAGCAGATGCAATAGACTCGATTGAATGAAATGCTGCTCCATCTGGAAGATGCAGTAAGGGCTTTGGACAATGAGGAGGGAGGAAGTGAAGGGGCAAGTTTGACATCTTCTGTGATTGCATGGGAAAATGTCATAGGAGGGGCTGTTGAGGAAATGTCAGGAATGATGGAAGGGTCGACCAGGGTCCTTGTGAAATGCTGACTGTGCAGGGGAGGGGCAGATATGTTGGGTGACATCCTGATGGAGGTGAGGAAAATGGTGGAGGATGATACTTTGAATGTGGAGGGGTGGCAACTGAGAATTAAGGTAATCTTATCATTGTCCTGAGAAGGCAGGGAAGGGCTGGGGGCAGAAGTGTGGAAAATGGATTGGATATGGCTAAACCATGGTGGGGGAGTTTTCAATTGCAGAAAATGGAGAAATGTTGGAGGCACTCTGCGGAACGGTAGCATCTCAGGAATGTAAGAACTAGGAGCAGGAATAGGCCATCTAGTCCCGTGAGCCAGCTCTGTCATTCCATACAATCATGGCTGATCTTGACTTGGCATCAACTCCACTTTCTTATGCACTCCCCATAAAACTTCAACTCATTTCTAATTAAAAATCTGTTGATGTCCAGCTTAAATTTATTCAATATCATCGACCACACTCTAGGATAATGAATTCCACAGATGAACAGATGTATTGGAGATGGAGAAATTTGGAGAATGAAATGGAATCCTTCCAGGAAGCAGATTGTGAGGAATTGCAATCAAGGTAACCCGTGGGTTTATAGTGGATATTATTGGATGGCCTATCACCAGAAATAAAAACAGTGAAGTCAAAGAAGGGAAGGACGCGTTAGGGATGGACCGGATGATGATGAATTTAGGTTGAAAACTAGAAGCAAAATTGATTCATTTTTCCAAAACTGGATGAGAGCAAGAGGAAGCACTGATCCTGTTAAGGCCTCAAATGATCAAATGTGACTACGAATAAGATGGAACTGGACATCAGGACAGCTTAGAGATAGCATGAGGTGGTGCTGATGGAGAGAGATTGAAAGGGTGCACGTGGCAGTGCAGGACAAGAGTATGGATCTCAGGATGTGGTAGGAACAGCAGACTGAATATCTTTGTATGTCACAGAGATCCCTGTAATTCTAGGCGGATTCATGAAGAATGGAATCAGTTGGAACCCACATGGGGTAAGGTGGTGGTGGAGACAGTCACTGAAGAAGTAACATTGACTGTGAATGAAAGTTCCGGCTGAGCCTCTGGATTACGAATCTAATGACACCAAAATCACCCCCTCATATTTCTCTTTTATTTCAGAAATTATCTGCTGCCAACTATTTCCTTTTGCAACGTATTTGCCTATCTCCTTAACTCCTTGCACTTGTTACCCAGCTGGGAGGCACACCATATGATAAGTACAGCAACAAATTCTTGACCTCCTTCAACTCATGGAATCATAAAGTCGTACAGTTGTAATGCACAGAAACAGAACGTTCAGTCCAACTCTTTCCATGCTGAACAGATATTCTAAATTCATTTAGTCCCATTTGCCAGCATTTAGCCCAGATCCCTCTAAGTCTTCCTATTCATACACCCATCCAAATGCCTTTCAAACATTGTTCAGTCAGTTCTATTATAACACGATAGTTCGTTCTCATGGAATCTCGCATTATAAGAAAATCGCGCAATGACTGTGACATTTAAAGTGATGGGTACAGAATTGCGTTATAGCCAATACAGGTAGGGAAAGTACGTGTTCTTCAAATAGCGTTCTATAATTCTTCAATTCTGTTAAAACCAATTTGCTTTGAAGAAACATGCATCGTAGCAGAACCGATTATCGTTGTACCAGCCTCCACCACTTCCTCTGGCAGCCCATTCATCACACACACTACCCATTGTGTGAAAAGGTTGCCACTTAAGTCCTTTTCGTAAATCTTTCATTTCTCATCTTAAACCTATGCCTTCTAGTTTTGGACTTCCCCACCCTGGGAAAAAGACCTTGGCCATTCACCCTACCAATGCCCCCACACCGCCCCCTCCCCCACCCCACCCCCAATCATTTTATAAATATCTATAAGGTTACCTCTTAACATCTGATGCTCTGGGGAAAAATAGCCCCACCCCCTTCAGCCTTGCCCTCTGGCTCAAGCCCTCCAAACCCAGCAACATCCTTGTAAGTCTTTTCTGCACCCTTTCAAATTTAACATTTCTCCAATAACAGGCAGACCAGAATTGAATGCATTGTTCCAAAAGTGGTCTAACTAATGTCCTGTGCTGCCGCTACATGACACCTCAAGCCCTACACTCAATGCACTGACCAATAAAGGCAAGGGTGCCAAATGCCTTCTTTACCAACCTGTCGACCTGCAACTCCACCTTCAATGAACTATGAACCTGCACCCCAAGGTCTCTTTGCTCCGCAAAACTATGCAGGACTCTATCATTAAGTTTATAGTCCTACCCTGATTTGCCTATGGCAGCACGGTGGCTCAGCGGTTAGCAATGTTGCCTCACAGTGCCAGGGACCTGGGTTTGATTCCACCCTCAGGGGAATGTCTGTGTGGAGTTTGCACATTCTCCCTGTATCTATATCCCTGTGTCTGCGGGGGTTTCCTCCAGGTGCTCTGGTTTCCTCCCACAGTCCAAAGATGTGCAGGCTAGGTGGATTGGCCATGCTAAATTGCTCATAGTGTTCAGGGTTAGTTGGGTTATATGGCGATGGGTCTGGGTGAGATGCTCTGAGTGTCAGTGTGGACTTGTTGGGCCAAAGGGCCTGTTTCCACACTGTCGGAATTCTATAAAAAAATGCAACACTTCACATTCATCTAAATTAAACTCCATCTGCCACTCTTTGGCCTATCTGATCAAGGTCCTGTTGTACTCTGACATAACCTTCTTCAGTATCCACTATAGCACCAATGTTAGTGTTACCTAACTAACAAATTAACTAACCATGCCCCCAATATTCACATCTGAATCATTCATATAAATAACAAAAAACTTAACAATCATGCCCAGCTAGTTCAGTCAGTACAGCATGAGATTTTTACTTAATTGGATTCTTGATCAGTACGCCAATCAATGGTACAGGTAGAGGGCAGGAATGTGGAGGTGAGGGGTGTCGGATCAGCCATGATCCTAACAAATGGCAGAGCAGGCTTGATGGGCCGAATAGCCTACCCTTATTTCTTATGGTCTTAATTTTGCCTTCTTCAACCTCTTTAGAAAGCCTATCCAGGATCTGAGGGGTCATTGCAGTCTTCTACAACTCCCAGGATATCATTCTCTCCAAGGTGCATCTGTGGTACGGTGACTCAGTGGTTAGCACTGCTGCCTCACAACACCAGGATCATGGGTTCATCCCCACCCTCGGGCAACTGTATGTGTGGAATTTGCACATTCTCCCCATGTCTGCATGGGTTTCCTCTGGGTGCTGTGGTTTCCTCTCACAGTCCAAAGATGTGCAGGCTAGGTAGATTGGCCATGCTAAGTTGCCCGTAGTGTTAGGGGATGAGTAGATTAGGTGGGTCGTAGGGGGACGGGTCTGGGTGGGACGCTCTGAGGGCTGGTCTGGACTTGTTGGGCCGAAGGGCCTGTTTCTATGATTCAGACTATCCATCAATCTTTTTCATCAATTATGCCAAAGTCATCAGATACTCCTGACTTTGCTGAGGAAATTCTCCACATGCTTCTATTTAATACATCTGCTACTCAAACCATATAACGCCACTGCTGATAACCACTGTACAAGTTTGATTTGGAGGTCACAGAATATCCAAAACAAAAAGTGTAAGACATAGGTGATTTCAAGACATTTTATTAAGAGCCAACAGTTTAGACATGTTATAAAGCTAACAGACATATGATCAGAACAAGTTAGAACAGATAATTGATCCCAGAGTAGATAAACAGAAGAGGGATAAAATAAAACAGATAAACAAAAGAACAGATCTCTGTGGCCACAGTCACCTCAGAATCTTTACTTGGTCCCAGGTTAGTCAGCTGGACAGGAAAATAAGGGGTAAACATAACCGATGCTGTAAATCTGAAACAAACACAAAGTATGGTGGAGAAACTCAGCAGGTCTGGCAGCATCTGTGGAGAAACAGAGTTAATGTTTCGAATTCGTAATGACTCTTTTTCAGAACTGAGATGGACAGATAACATTGAAGGTGGCAGAGTATTCTGTTTATTTTAGTCTTTTGGAACTTGTCAAATTGTTAGGATGAAAGCAGCATGGATCACTTCAAAGGCCTGCACTCTGGCCAAAATTCTCCTTAACCAAACAGGCGTTAAGCCACAGCCAGCTGCATTCACGTGAAAAAACTATTTGCTGGCTGGAGTGATTTATTGCCACTTGAGACATTGGCTGTATACCTTATATCAGTATGACAGGTGGGAGGAAATCTCTTCTTTGATTTTCCATTAACAGAGACAGATATCCAAGGTAATCACATTCTCTGAAAGCCCATGAAGTTAATCCATGACTTCTCGTTTGCTAGTACACACTGGCTGTCCTTCACCCAACTGCTGGTTTCCTTGAGTCCACCCTCTCCCACTCCACCCCTTTATTGTGTTGAGGAAGGATGAGTTTCAGTGCCTGTGCCAGGAAAGTGTCCTTGGCTAGGTAACAGAGCCTGGGCTGTCCTGTTGTCAACATGGAAACAAAAGAGCAGGAGCAAAAGCTAGAGAGGGAGAGGCACAGAGAGAGAGCATGAGAGAAAGAATAAGAAATGGAGAGAGAGAGATAGATGGAGAGAGAGAGAGCTTCTTGGCTGGCGATCCATCTCCAAGTCCTTCAATGTCCACCAAATCACTGATAATGTCTGTGTCACTGAGGGCACGGAGTGTCACGTCGGATGTATTTTGGTCTCTTTCTCTCTCCATCTTTCCCTCTCTCTCCATTTCCTATTCTTTCTCTTGTGCTTGCTCTCTGTGCCTTTCTGTCACAGGATAGATGGAGAGAGAATGAGATAGAGAGAGATGGATAGTGAGACAGAGTCAACAGAGAGAGCAAGAGATGAAGAGAGAGTGTGAGAGATGACAGACAGACAGTGAGAAATGGAGAGAACGAGAGATGGAGAGACAGTGTGAGATAGCGTATGAGAGATGGAAAATGAGAGCAAGATAGAGAGAAAGCAGGAGAGATGGGTAGAGTGTGAGACAGTGAGACAGATAGAGAGAGATGGTGAGAGAGAGAAGTAAATCTCTCAATATCTATGCAGCTCTTTCAATCGCATGTTCTGTATCTCCCTTGCAGGTCATCTGGAATCCTATAATGCTGGCATATGTTATCAGAGATGTCACTGCAATTACTTGTCAAGTCTGTTTTTCAAAACTTTGCCTTGAAAAGGCACTAAAAAAATTGTTTGCAAAGCTCATGCTTTTTGTTACCATGGAGAAAACTCTCCATCAATAAACCATTATGAGTGAGATAAGTGGTCTTGGCCCATTCATCTGAAATGAAGGTGACCATCCACATTGTGGTCTGACTTGCGGACAAATAAGCTTGCGTGTGAACTCCAGAATGGAGCCTGTTTGTAACCTGGGGACAGCTTGTAGTTATCAGGAAAATTAAACAAGATAGATTTGACTTTGATTTGACAGCTCTCAGGAAAATAAAATGACTCTTACTTACTTTACAGCAATTTCTTGCAAATGTCACATTCAAGATTTTTTTATCCTTTCATGGAATGTGGTCAGCACTGACGGGCCAGCATTTGTTGCCCACCTTTGATTGCCTTGGAACTGAGTAACTCACTGAGCAATTTCAGAGGACAGTTAAGTCAGCTGCATTGTGGGTATGGATTCACATGTAGGCCAAACTGGGTAATATTGGCTGATTTCCTTTCCTAAAGAGCATTTATGAATCAGGTGGAGTTTTACAACAACTGATTATAGTTTTGTGGTCACCCATTATAGAGATTATCTTTATATTCCAGGTCTAATAATTACATTGAAATTACCCATCTGGCAACAGTACTAATGATCCCACTGCTTCCCTTACAGTCTTTTACAAAATCCAGTTACTGACACATATACACTCTTTTCCAATCTCCCATCAGATATTTCTCTCCATCCACTGTTCATCTAATTCCCCCTTTCAAAGGTAGACATAGGCATGTTGTCAAATTTCAAAGAAATGTAAAATTTGTATTGTATTTCAGCCCAATTATGCCATAACCTTCCTGGTTAATGTTCAGAAACACCAATCAGGTGGAATTATTTATATCCGCAATTTCCAGCATCTTTTCATACAATATCTAGGGAGTGGAAACATTATTCAAATAATTATTTACTTCATAAAGTATTACCTGTTTTGTGTTTCAGGTAAACATTTATACTAGTATTTACTGGTCCATTAACTTTGGAACACATAACCACAAGTGATTCTATAATTCAGTTAATTCTAAAAGCCAGAAAACCAAAGCATCAAGGACTGCAGAAGCTGCGTGGCATAGGAATTCTTAACACCAGCAGAAATCCAAACTTTCAGAGTAATTGCTAATTATTCCACATATGTTTAACAGTACCAGCAACAAACAAATCCAACTCTTACAGTCACTTGTGAACTAGTTGATGTTTCAGCAGATAAGAATTGAATGACCGAGTGAACCCCTTCACACAGCGCATCTGAACAGCCGCTGCCCATTGTGTACACGCTGATGTGTCAGCAGACTGGATGATTGAGTGAATCCTTTCCCACACACGGGGCAGGTGAATGGCTTCTCCCCAGTGTGAACTCGCTGGTGAGTCAGCAGATTGGATGAATTTCTGAATTGCTTCCCACACACAGAGCAGGAGAATGGCCTCTCCCCTGTGTGAACGCGCTGGTGTGTCATCAAGCTGGATGACTGAGTGAATCCCTTCCCACACATGGGGCAGGTGAATGGCCTCTCCCCAGTGTGGACTCGCTGGTGAGTCAGTAGGTTGGACGAATTAGTGAATCCCTTCCCACACATCGAGCAAGTGAATGGCCTCTCCCCAGTGTGAAGGCGCTGGTGTGTCAGCAGGCTGGACGACTGAGTGAATCCCTTCCCGCACACGGGGCAGGTGAACGGTCTCTCCCCAGTGTGAACTCGCTGGTGTAAGAGCAAGTTGGATGAATTAGTGAATCCCTTCCCACACACCGAGCAGGTAAATGGCTTCTCCCCAGAGTGAACGCGCTGGTGTGTCAGCAGGCTGGAAGATTGTGAAAATCCCTTCCTGCACACAGAGCAGGTGAATGGCCTCTCTCCAGTGTGAACTCGCTGGTGTAACAGCAGGTTGGGTGACTGAGCAAATCCTTTGCCACACACTGGACAGGTTAACAGCTTCTCCCCACTGTGACCACGTCGATACATGTCCAGCTCATAAGAGGTAAATATTGTCTTCCCACCGTCCCCAGTTTTTTCTGGTGTCTCCATGATGCCAGTATCCTTGTGTTTCTCTATGGTAGGGCAATCAGTTGAAACCTGGGTCCATGCACAGAGTATGCATACAGATTCTTTCAGCTGTGGCAGATGCAAGATCTTTTTTCAGGCTGCATCACTGGTTTAAGCTTTTACCAGTCATTACAAGGGAGCAGTCTCATTCAAGTGCTTGTGTCTTGGTACTCTTCCAGCCACACAATGTTTAAAACCAGAAAAAGGAAGCAGAATAGAAAAAGACTTTCTCTGCACCAAAAGGCCAATGATACTCAGGCCCTGATGAATCAGGTGACTTTCAGATCTCATTCCATATTTGGCACGTGTTCATTTGTAAATCCCGTTTTAATGCCCTGGAAAGCAAGTTTATAAAAGTTATCATTGTAACCACAGGGTAGAAATTTAGGACAGTGCTGGTTTTAATAGGACATTGGTTCGTTCTTGATCCCCTAACAATGTAAATCCTGTGCCACACAGGTTCCTTCCCTCTGTTGTGTAAGGCAGTTGAATGGTTTAACTCACATCATGAGAAAAGCTCCATCCATCATGACAGAAAGGACTGTTCCTAGGAGGAACTCACCTGTTTAAGTTACTGTACTGTTAAATCCATGCAGCTATGCAGTAATACACACTCACTCTTAAGCCTAGCATGAGAACTCACGAGACTATCATGCAACTCAGATGCAGTGTAACTAGTCATTAAGCAGCAATGTAATAGACCCCATTCTGTTCAATAAGACCAATTTTCTCTTCTGCAGAAGACTTTGTGTGGGCATCCCTCCTGCTTCATATTAGTAATTTTTGCTAAATGATAAAGTTGCTATTGTCCTATTGGACCATGGGGCTGCTCTTTCAGCATTGAGAGAATCAACAGGTGGTGGTTTAACCTGCAAGTCACCACAAAGCTTTAGCTATGAAGAGATGCTGTGTTCGCTCAGTTTGCTTTTTCAGAGCAGAGACGGCTGAGGTGAGGCCTTGAGGCCTGCAGAGGTGTATAAGATTACAAGGTGCATCAGCAGGATGAACAGACAGCAGCTATTCTCTTGAGTCGAAAGGTCAAGAAGAAGGGGGCATAATTTTAAGATGCAAGGGAAGGAATGGTGGGGATGTGGAATGCACTGCTTGGGAGGATAGGTGAGATTCATACCTTTTTAAAGGTTGTGAAGTTATCTGATTGAGCACCTTGACAAGACATAACATTAAAAGCTATGAACCTGGTACAGACTTGATGGGCCGAAGGGCCTCTTCTACACTGCATGGTTTCTAGGAGTCTGTGAAATTCAGTCGGTCCTATTGGCTCCCAAGATGGCCCCGCCCACCCTGTGATGTCAGCGCCGCCACAAACGCGCATGCGCCCCCTGCTGGTGCCGGCCTGATCCAAGATGGCGGCTAGTGGGCCGGCTCTAGCGACCTGGCGCCAAGACGACAGGCCGGTAACTACGAGCCAGGCAGACACGGGAAAGCCCCGCCGCTTCGACTGAGGCCCTTAAAAACCCTTAGCCGAGGCCTTCCGACTGCACACACCGCCAAACGCATCCTCTTTGTCCGCTGCGCGCCGCGCGCCGCTCGCCTTTCGAACCGTCTTCGGTGACTGCACGACCCTTTTCGAAGTGACACTGCGCATGCTCCGGATTGCCAGCACTGCGCCTGCGTCCCTCTGCTCCCACATTCCGAATAGGGCACTGTCATTGCCGCGCGGCATGCTGGGTAACCGCGCCACCTTTAAAGGCAAATTCGATATTCTGTTATCCGATTGATATAAAATCAATTTCTCATCAAAAAGAAGAACACAAGGAATGTCAGGAGCCTTTCTTCGACAGGATTAGGGTATGCACGAGTTTCCTTGAGGAAAAGTGGCAAGCTAAAAATCGTTGGACGTTTCACTCCTGTGAATTTCCATCTCTGCCTCCCCTGGCAAAACTCAGATACCTGGTCACCCAAATATAGCAGGTGATTCTCCTGACTGGATCCCATGAAAATCTATGTGGCAATGACCAGGGTTGGAGGAATCAAAGAGCGGAGGATCACTAACCAGATTTATGGTAAGGGATAGAAGATTTAACCAAGATGTGAGGAAATATTTTCACCCTGAGTCTGGTGTGAATCTGGAACTCACTGGCTGTATGAGTTGTAGAGGCAAAAGCTTTCACAACTTTTTAGTAGTATTTAGATGTGCACTTGTGTTGCCAAATCATACAAGACTATGGGCAGTGCTGGAAAATAAAGTTAGAATAATTAGGTGGTTGTTTTTGACCAACATGATGCAATGGGTTGAAGGTCGCTTTTCTGTGCTGTAGGTCTCTTTGGCCGGATAATCTGTTCCTTTCATATTGATTGAAGGGTTTATGAATCCTGGGGACATGACACGTGGAGAGAGGTGCTTGCATTGTCTCAATAGTCACCAGACACTTTCTCTGATTAGGCCAGAAATTCTACCAGTGTCTGAATCTATTGCATTGGTTGATAAAAGGAAACCAACAGCTTTTGTAAAAACCCAAAAACGGATTTCTCAGAATTCAGTTAAATTCCTGGTTATTCTATTCATTCCGTCCATTCACTAAAAACTGAAATAACTGTCGATGTTGGATATCCTAAACAAAATCAGAAATTTCTGTTGAGCTTTTCCAGCACTTGTTTTCTGAGGAAGGGTCACTGGGCCCGGAATGTTAACTCTGATTTATCTTCGCAGATGCTGCTAGACCTACTGAGTGTTTCCCCAGCAATTTCTGTTCTTGTTACATCAAGTCTTTTGCTGTTATTCAATCTGTGCTGTTAATGTTGAATCACTGCAAATATGGTATATTACTTGGAACTCTATAAACTTCATAAGCAATTTAAACAGCAACATTTGATGAATTTAAATAATCTGTTGCCCTGGTAGGTGGTGCAGACATTATGGATTACATTGTCCACATCCTCCAATCATTCACATTTTACCAAATTACTTACTTGTGACAGAGAATGATGGGAACACTCAGCAATGTTCTTTCATAAGAATTGTGAAAAGTTAGAAAAATAATAGAGTTTGAGGAAGGGATGTGTGGGATCAGGACAAAAGGAAGGCCTATGATAGGGTGGAAGACAGGAGAGACCAATGGACAGAAGAGTTAGTCCTATAGGACCAAAGGGAATGCAGATGAGGCAACAGGAGAACCAAAGAAAATAACGGATGTGTCTAGAGCAGGTGTGCTGATACCAGAACACAAAAATACATGAAAAAACAAAACATTTCGAGAAGAGGAAATAAAACAGGGGAACAGATGTCTGAAATTGTTGAGATCATTGTTGCTTCTAGAAGACTGCAAAGTGCCTTATCGAAACATACTGAAGAGCACAACTTTTCCTGCCTTTAATGAAAAGTTTTTAACTTGAAATGTTATTTCTGTCATCGTACATATGGCCTTCACATGCTAAGTATTTCCAGCATCTAATGTTCTCTTTTAATTTCGGATTTCTAGCATTCACAATAGTTTACTTGTTGACTAATCATTTTTCAAAGTTGATTACGTAAATTATCTGTTTAAATAGGAAGTTGTACCATTCCTTTGGTTAGCTGATAATAGAGTATGCTTGGTCAACAAAGGCACCACAGCCCCCCGTTCAGTACAAGACCATTATTGGAATGGTACTCAAGGAGATTAGTGTCCCGGTACCGTAGTGTCTCATGCCACATAATGATAAATTCACAATAGATTCATAGAGTCATTCAGCACAGAAACGGACCCTTCAGTGCAGGTTGTTCATGCTGACCAGGTATCCTAAACTGAGCTAGTCCCATTTGCCTGTGTTTGGCCCATATCCCTCTAAAACTTTCCCATTCATGTACCTGTCCAAACGCCTTTTAAATGTTGTAATTGTACCTGCCTCTACCATTTCCTCTGACAGCTCATTCCATACATACACCATTCTCTGTGCAGGTTAGGTAGATTGGCCATAGGTTGTGCAAGGTTACAGGAATAGGGTGGAGGGTGGGTCTGCATGGGATGCTGTACGGAGGGTTGGTGTGGACTCCATGGACCGCGTGGCCTGCTCCCACACTGTGGAATTCTATGTTTTTAAAAATGGAATAATAATCAAATACTAAATGACATTTTTCCTTTAATAATTGAAAGGATACCAATGGAAGATGACTTTGATATCCTCTTCAGGAGCAAACAAGGACAAAAGTCGACAGATCTGAAACAGTAATAACTTCCACTGCTAACAAGAATAACAGTGAACTTTATGAGGTAAATACTTCTAAAATAACAATGCCATGATGGGCTGTTAGTATTCTCTGCACGTTTACAATGTTTTCTCAATATTTTGTTTCACACAAAATAGAGCACAATGACATCAATTTCCTCATTTTGGCATAAACTAATAGAATTGTAATACACATTTGTCAAATTCAATATCTATAATGAGCAGGATGTTTTTTAAAAAACGGAAATTATTTCAAAAGTGCTTTTGTGTTCTTTCCCTTCCTTTTTCTGAAGCAATCCACAAATGCAACAAAAATAGTTTGCATTTATAGTTTCTATCTCTTGGAACTGCGTTTTTTTATTTCCAGTGTTTCTTCCCTGCCTTTTCCTGAATCCTCCTGGGTCCAGACCTTGTGTAAACATTGTGGCTCATGAAATAGGAGAGAATTGATTACAATAAATGGCTGAAGGACAGAGAATAGCGAGTTTGACAGTTTTTTTTCCAGACTGGAAGATGGTATTCAGGAGTGTTCTACAATAGTCCATGTTAGATCCACTGCTTTTTTGAGATATTTAAATAGCTTAAATATTGGAGTGCAGCATAACATTTTAATATTTGCCAACGATGCCAAACATGGAGCGATGGTATGCAACGAGGATGATAATAATTTGCTGCATCAGGACACAGATAAGCAAGTATAATGGGCAAGCAAGTGGCAGATGGAATTTAATACTGAGAAGTGTGAGGTGATGCATTTTGGCAGAAGGGATTGGGAGAGGCAATGTGGAATTAGAGGCACAATTCTAAAGAGTGCTCAGCTTCATGTGTATAGAAAGTTGAAGAAGGCAGGACAGAGTGAGAGAGTGGTTAGCAAAGCATGTGGAATCATAGACTTCCTAAAAAGAGGCATGGACTACAAAACATGGAATTTATGTTGCACATTTATAAAGCACTGGTATGACTTCAACTTGAGTCTTGTATCCAGTCGTGGTCATCACAATTTAGGAGGGAATTGAGGGTCTTTAAGATGGTGCAGAGGGAGATTTACTAGAATGATTTCAGCGGTGAGGGATTTTAGCAACAAGGTTGGAGAAGCTGAGCTTGTTCTGTTTGGAGTAAAGGAAGCTGAGGGCAGGTTTGAAAGAGGTGTACAAGATTGTGACCAGTTTAGATCAGATAGATAAAAGAAAAGATGTTCCCATTAACAGATATGAAAGGATTAATAAGCACAGATTTAAGGTATGAGAAGGGGATTTTTAAAGCTTATTACTTAATCGGAAATTATCATTGTGAGTTGGGCCAGTGTTCTTGCTCATCTCTAACTGGTTTTGAAAAGGTGTTGGTGAGCTGCCTTCTTGAACCACTGCAATCCACAGTGTAGGAACATCCATAGCGCTGTTAGGAAGGGATTTCCAGGATTTTGACTCTGTGATAATGAAGACACAGTGAGATAGCTCTAAGTCAGGATGGGATGTGGCTTGGAGGGGAGCTTGCAAGCAGTGGTATTCCCATACATCAGGTGTCCTTATCCTATGATCCCATCTGGTAATACTGTACATGTCAGATTCTGGAATGGAAACTGGCTTGATGTATTATGTGTTTAATTTTTGCAGTTGGTTAACATGGTGGCTAGTCACTGAAACTTCATGTGAGGCTGCAGATTCTCTTTGACCAAGAGAACAAAGTTTATTTAAAAAAAAAATTAAACAAAGCTGCATGTATATTGAAAACAGAAAGCTCTGAACACAGGTATTAAAACAAAGTATTGAGTTGTTTATCAGCAGTGTCTGTTACAAGGACTCCATTCCAGTGAAAGATCACTCTTAGTTTAACTCTGTAAATGAGAGTTCTTCTTAAAAAGAAGGCACTTATGACACTTCATTCCCAATGACATCTTTCTGCTGTATCCTTCTGTTTGTTTTGATAAATTTTATAAGAAATTTTTCCTGCTGTGACAGCTCAGATGAAATATTGACCACCACAAGCACCACCACCACCCCCCCAAACCTTTCTCTTCTCTCTGCGTGTACTGGTAATGTGACAGCTTCACCAATGAGGAAGTGTTGCAGGGATTCAGTGGCATGGATGTCATGTTAGGGCACATCTAACATCTCCCAGACATGGGCTAATGGCAATACAGTGGGCACCATTGTATGGCCAACGAAGAAGACTGGGCCAGCTAAAGAAGATCCAGACGAATACTTTTAATGAGGACTGTCAGGAGTCATACACCATCTGAGCTGGAGAGAGAGCTTGGACATGAGCTAGCCACAGAGACTTGCTGCCTGTTATGAGCAGGAACGAGAGAACCTAAATCGAGTTTCTCCGTGTTTCATTGACTGATCTACCCAGGTGTGTCTGTTATGTTATGTCTTTATTTCAAATCCCTGACATTTGTGCACTTTCCTTTGATCGGTAATAGATAAAATCTCTAAACACATTACAGAGTTAAACACCAAGTGTAGATTTCCAGGTGAAGTAGCTTTAGAGGTCCAAAGACAATTGTAGGTGTAAGTCAGTCCCCATTTTGAATATATCCATATATTCTTTACAGTCAGACAGGGCCTCCGCAGAACTGAGGGTGTGTGGAGTTACAAATACCATTGTCATTCATTATGAAGATAAGTGGGAACATTGAAAAAAGATTGACAGGCATTGTGTGTGACAATTGGATTTTTGAATACCATTTACCTAATAACATAGTTAAAAATAACAACCAATGTCTTGTTGATGTACTAGACATTTGACAGTCATTGCCATGTATTTGAATCTTACACTCTTTGTAATGTTACTTTGACATTGGCAGCCCTGCAGATAAACTCATTCCTAGTACTCTGCTTCCTGTTAGCTGCTGCGTTGCATCATTAGGCATGGCATGCATAATGGCGTCATTGCCATCAATGGCATAAAAGTCCTAAAATTTCAGATATGGAACTTTGAAATCTTGGAACTATTGATGTAACCTTGGAGATTTACAGCCTCACTGCAGGGTCTTCATCTAATGTATCCCTACACTAGTCTTATTACTGACCTGTTCCTGTATGGATGCTCCTGTTCCACGTAGGGTAGGAGAGTGTAGGAAATCCAGGTCGACCGCAAAGGGATGTAACCTTAGAATTAAAGCTGGGCCAACCAGAAAAGAAATATGAAAATACTTCTTAACAGGAAGGGTGTTTGAGATTTGGAACATGCTCCGACAAATAAAATAGTGATTACATCTTCAATGATTGAATGATGTGAAATTTGAGACTGATGGATTTTTGTTAGACCAGGATATTTAAGGACCGAGAATCAAGGCAGCTGAACACAACAGAGGAACAGATTGGCCAAGATCTGATCGGCCAAGATCTCATTGAATACTGGAATAGGCTGAAGTTACTGAATAATCTACTTGTAATGCCATATTGCTGGTTTTCTGTTTCTTCCTCATGTTGCTATTGACTTCTAAAATTTTGAAACATTGGCATACAGTCCTCATGCCATGTGCTCATGGAGACTATTAAGTAACAGCAGATCCTTAGTGACGTAGCTTTTTTTTGATATTTCTGCAAGCCAAAAATCATTAAACTGAGTTGATTTTAAGTGCAGTTCAACATAGTGAATAGTGTTGCCAATGACAGTGGTGAGAAATGTCTATGGTGTCTGCCAGACAGGGTGCAACACATGAACTGTACCGTTGGAGTAGCATGAACTACAAAACATCAGATATAGATCAGAAGGGGTCACAATTAAACCAGAACTAAGGCTTATATCCGGTTCTGGTAGCTGTGGCATGAGGGGATGAAGAAAATGAGAGCTGGAGATGGAAACACAAAGTATCGAGAAGCTGAGTACTTGGAGCTGCATGCCATGGCTAACCCAGATAGATACGCCCAGATGGCAGCCTCCAAAGATCAGTGGGAGAGAGATGAAGGGTGAGCTGAAAAGACAAAGATTGGATATTCAAGAGAAGGTGGACTGTCAACATTTCTGAGGCCGAGACCAATTGTTAGACAGGCTTTTTCATGATTAACTCAATTGACAGTCCTTTCACATTCATAACCCTTCATTTTATGAGTCATGCTTCATTTGATACATCCCTCCAATGAAAGTGTTTCATTTCCATGAACTGAAATTTCCCAAGAAAAGAACAAGATGATATGGAAATCTTGGTAGTGGAGGAGAATCAGGTTTAATTTATATTTTATAGGACAAAGATGATGCTGAATTGGCCATCATTTATTGCTCATCCTTAATTATCCCTGAGAAGATGGTGGTGAACTGCCTTCGTGAACTGCTGCAGTCTGTGTGGTACAGGGACCCCCAAATTGCCCTTTGGGAGCGAGTTCCAGGATTTTGGTCCAGTGATGTTGATGCAATTGTGAAATAGTTTCACATCAGGATGGGAAGTGAATTGAAAGAAAATTTGCAGGTGGAGGTGATCCAAGTCGATGAGGACTTAAGAGCTCAGAATCATATCAAAAGGTTCCATTCATGGGTTGTAGCATTTTAACAGAAGTAATTTTTCTCGCTTTTCTGCATTGCCCTCATTTTGATGGCTGTGTAAAATAAGTGTTGAAGTATTTTTCAACAATTTTCTTTAAAAATTAAAATAATCTATTTTCTGCTCTAGTTTAATTCTCAATTGCTTATACCTTGTGCAAGCTGACCAACAAAGAATAAGAGATGGCAACTGATTACCTTGATTTTCCATCATGATTTATAGAACCACATTGTGCATCCTCTATAATCCAAAGAGAAACTAGTTCCTTGGCTAAATCAGTCTATCTCAATGTTCGTGCTCCAGCCAATGTCCTCCCATCTGTTATCTAAATGTACGATGTGGTCCTCTGCTTGCTTCCTTCTCAAATGCTTTCCTGCTTTCCTCTTAAATTTCCTTTATACTATTTACTTCAACCACTCCCTGTGGTGGTGTGTTCTAGATTCTCACGACTCTCTGGCTGAAGAAGTTTCTTTTGAATTCCCAAATTAGGTTTCTTCCTGACTATCTTGTGCTGGTGATCTCTGGACAATTTTTTTTTAACGTGAGAAGCTTGTCAGTCCCTCTTCTGATATTGTAAAACCATACACTTTTGTAATCATCCTGCTAAGTCATTTCTGAATGCCTCACAGTGTCTTGGTATCGATTTTGACAGCTGAAGAGAACCTCTGACTTTGATTGTTGTGGTTATAAGTTATTTTTCCTGTGATCCCTTCCTTGTCACCCCACCCAATGATGTTGTGTTTACTTCCAAAAGGTTAAGAGGTGTGAAATATTTGAAGTCTGTGTAATTGATACCTTAACGGTTTGTTTGAATATCCTGTTATAGGATTGTAGGAATGGATGTTTCTTTTCCAGAAGGAAATTGTAATTATTTTTTCATTCATTTGTGGGACATTTTGGCATCTGTGACTGGCCACTATTGATTGTCTGCCACCATTTCATCTTGAGAAGGTGGTGGTGGTGAGCTACTTTCTTGAACCACAGCAGCCCGCCTATTGTGGGTTGACCCACAATGCCATTAAAGAGGGAATTCCATGAGTGTGACCCTGTTCTCACGTACTGAGAACACCACAACCTTCAAGTCCCCTCCAAGCTACTCTCAATCCTGTCTTGGAAATATATCATCCTTGTCCTTCTGGATAGAGGTCGCCATAGGTTTGGAAAATACTTTCTGAGGATCTTTGGTGAATTCCTGCAGTGCATCTTGTAGAAAGTACACACTGCTGTTTTCTGAGCATCAGTGGTGGAGGGAGTGATTTCTGCCTTGTAGATGATGAGCAGGTTTTGGGGAGTAAGGAGGTGAGTTACTTACTCCAATGTTTCTAGCCTCTGACCTGCACTTGTAGCCACTGTGTTTGTCATGAGTCCAGTTGAGTTTCCGGCCAATGGTAACCCCAAGGATGTCGATAGTCTGGGATTCAGTGATGGTAACACTATTGAATGTCAAGGGATGGTGGTTAGATTTGCCATCACCAATGAGACATAATCTGGCATTTGTATGGCGCAGATGTTACTTGCCAGTTGTCAGCTCAAGCCTGGATATTGTCCAGATCTTGTTGCATTTGAACACAGACTGTTTCAGCATCTGAGAAGTCGCAAATGGAGCTGAACATTGTGCAGTCATTGGCGAACATTCCCAACCTCTGACCCTCTGAAGCAGACCCTGCTTCATCCATTGATGAAGCAGCTGAAGATGGTTGGGCCTAGAACACTGCTGTGAGGAGCTCCTGCAGAGATGTGCTAGAGCTGAGATGACTGACCTCCAACAACCACAACCATCTTTCTACTGCCAGGTATGACTAACAACCAGAAAGTTTGCCTTCTGATACTGATTGATTACAGTTTTGCTCAGACTCCTTGATGCCACATTCGGTCAAATGCAGTGTTGATGTCAAGGGCTGTCACTGTCACCTCACCTCCTGGAATTCAGCTTTTTTGTCTTATGTTTGAACCAAGGCTGTAATGAGGTCAGGAGCTGAGTAGCCCTGGGGGAACCCAAACTAGGCGTCACTAAGCAGGTTATTGCCGAGCAGGTGCTGCTTGGAAGGTATCTTCAATAGTGCTGTCATCACTTTACTGATGATTGAGAGTAGACTGTTGGGGCGGTAATTGACTGGGTTGGATTTGTCCTGCTTTTTGTGGGCAGGACATACTTGGGCAATTTTCCACATTCAGCTGCACTAATCCAGGGAATTGGGGACACATGCCTAACTTGCGCCTTTTAGATGATGGGCAGGCTTTGAGGCTTCAGGAGGGTAGTTACTCACTGCAGAATTCCTCCGTTTCTGTATCTGTTGAGTATGTTCTCTCTTTGATTATTATTAGTCTGTTGACTCTCAAAGCCTTCACATTCTTGATGTCAGTGTGCATATTTTACAGTTGCCAGTTTGCACTCATTAGTAGATGATGACACACTAATGTACATCAGTTAGTGTGATATCATTAGTTCATATCACAGACCGGTGACCCTAAACGTTAACTCTGATTTTTTTTCTTCACAGATGCTGACAGACCAGCTGAGCTTTTCCAGCAACTTCTGTTTTTCCTCTTGAATAAGATGATGGATTTCCTTCGACTCTCCATCTCAGCATCTCGACGAGTCTTCCCTTTGCTGTGACTTTGGAGTCTCTTTTGGGCTCTGCTGCTCACCAAAATGTGTCTAACAGTTAAAGTATTGAGCAGCATAATCAGAACAAATGAAATGCCTGGTGTTATAATATGATGAAAGAAGTGGATTATTGTCCAAATGGTTGATTCCATAACATTGGATGCTATATAACAAAACCAGGGAAAAATCTGAAGTCAATGATTTTTTTTTAGCATAAAATACCAAAAATGTTTTTTAAACAGCTTAGAGCTGTTACTGTTCCCAGAACCACAGCCACCATTTTCTCAATGCAGTATTTACTTTTCAACTTATGGCAACAAATGGATCAAAGGTGAAAGTGATGGTCAGCCAAACAGAGCAGTCTGTGACTGTATGAAGTAAGATGGCATGGATGTTGCACACATTAATGGAAAATTGTAAAAAGAACAGTTCCCGATAAGCAGTTGGACTCTACCTCAGTATCAGATCGAAGATAATGACCAGCAGCTCTTCTGCTGCCATGGCCACAAGATAGTAGGTGATACATTTGGAGAGACCACACTTACTGTGCACAAGAATCACAATTGTCACTAAATTAACTGTTAGGAAGGGGAATAAAGGTGGACATTCTACCTCAGACGTTTTGAAATTTTGCAGGCTCTATTGAAATTTGAACATATAATTGTAATATTTGGAATGAAATGATAGCTGAGGAATAACAGCTTATAAGAGATCAAATGAAGTTCACTGCTGAACTAACAATTACACGTGACTATGAAAATTGTTTGAGTGTTGAAACCCGAGAACTAATCCACTATTAGATCGAATAATGACCTCAGTATATCTTGGATAAAGAAATAAAATATTTTAGAATCCTCTTGCTTGTTATCTTTCATTTGTGTGAGTATTGGAAAATCAACCTTGGTGGTGAATTAACTTGTGTGAATTAACCAATGATCCATTTCCCCCAGGCGTAACTCAACCCCACTCCTGAGATGGGTCTGTAAGTGGTGACCTATGTGCTGCTGAACATTTGTTACCAGTGGCAAATACGATATATTTTTCCCAGACCCCAGGAGCTCAGCTGGGGAATGAAGCAGTGAGCAGGAAATATGGGTGAGATCAAACTTTAGTGCAATGCTTCACATGAGCAGAGGAGTGCCCTCACGGAAATAGGATTCAGCAAGAAGAGCTGCAAACCCAGGAAAGGAGACTAGTTAAATGCATTTCAGCATTCAAAATCTTTGCTAAAGCCTTCCCTCTTGATCAATTATTAATTTGATTGTTTGCCAATAAAGGAACTCAAAAATAGTATTTCTTCTATTTTATACCATCTATATGAGTTATTGTGGCCTGTGTAAGTATTGATCATCCAATGTATTTATCAATAATTTCCAAAGTGATGTCTTATCATTTTATCTGAACTATTCACCTTGCCAGTTGTGTACTGATACTTGAAAAACATTTGAACTATATGAATGAGATCAATGTAATGTTGCTGCTAACGGGTTAATTTTACAGAGTGCAAGCTTTAAGATGGCAATTTCATATATTATTTACCATATTGACCCTACATTTAGGTAGCTGAGCGGGGCACTGACAGCTGCTTGATTGGCGCTTCATCCACAAGCATCCACTCCCTCCACCACCGGCGTTCAGTAGCAGCAGTATGTACCATCTACAAAATGCACTGGCAGAAATTCACCAAAGATCCTCACATAGCACCTTCCAAATCCATGACCACTTCCATGTAGAATAACAAGAGTAGCAGATATATTGGAATACCACCACTGTCAAGTTGATCCTCAAACCACTCACCATCCTGACTTGAAAATATATTGCCGTTCCTTCACTGTTGCTGGATCAAAAGTTGAAAATTCCCTCCCTAATGGCATTGTGGGTCAACCCACAGCAGATGGATTGCAACAGTTCAGGAAGGCAGCTCACCACCACCTTCTCATGGGCAACTAGGGATGGGCAATAAATGCTATCTAGCCAGCGCTGCCCACATTCCACAAAATGAATACGTTAAAAAAGTACCTGGGTACATTGAAAAGTTTTGTTTTGCATGCAGTACAGGCAGATCATACCTACAAAGTGCCTTATGGTAATAGAACCAAACGAAGAATTCAATGTTACAGCTGCAGAGCAGGTGCGCAAAGAGCGAGATCAACATTTGTATTTAAAATTTGAGAGTTCCATTCAGAAGTTTGATAGTAGCAGGGAGACAGCTGTTTTTTGAATCTGTTGGTACGTGTGTTTAAGCTTTAGTATCTTCTGCCCGATGGAAGAGGTTATGTTGGATGCCTTCCCAAGGCAGCAATAATTATGCATGGAATCAATAGGTGGCAGCTTGGCTTACATGATAGACTGTGTTGTGCGCACAACTCTCTGTTGATTCTTTTGAATCTAGGCAGAACAGTTGCCACACTAAACTGTGATGTATCCAGATAGAATACTTCCAAATGATGCATCAATAAAAAAATGGTAAGAATCTTTATGGACATGCCAAATTTCCTTAGCCTCCTGAGGAAGAAGAAGCATTGTTGTACTTTCTTGACCATAACATCAACCATGGGTGGACCAGGACAGATTGTTGTTGATCATTACTCCTAGTAACTTGATGCTTTCAACCATCTCCACCTCAGCACCATTGTTGTGGACAGAGGCATGCCCTCACCTTGCTTCCTGAAGTCAATGACCAGCTCATTCATTTTGCAGATGTTGCGGGAGAGATTGTTATCTTTACACCATGTCATCAAGCACTCCAGTTTTTCCTGTATTCTGTATCAACATTGTTTGAGATCCCACCTACAATGGTGGTGTAAATGGAGTTAGAGTGAAATTTGGGCGCGCAGTCATGAGCGTATAGGGAGTACAGTAAGGGCCTGACTATGCAGCTTTGAGGAGTGTGGTGTTGAGGATTATTATGGAGGAGGTGTTGTTACCTATTCTCACTGATTGTGGTCTGTGGGTCAGGAAGTCAAGGATCCAGTTGCAGAGGGTGGAACAGAGAACTAGGTGTCAGAGTTTGGGGATTAGTTTCATTGGAATAATGATGTTGAAGGTGGAGCTGTAGTTAGTAATTAGAAGCTTGATGTAGGTATCCTTGTGATCCAAATGTTCCGGGGATAAGTATAACGCCATGGAGATGACACCAGCCATCGTCCTGTTGTGACAGTAGTCAAATTGCAAGGGATCAAGGCGGACTTGGAGGCTAGAGTTGATATGAGCCATGGCTAACCTCTCGAAGCACTTCATAATTATAGATGTCATAGCCACCAGGTGGTAGTCATTGAGTAATGCTGCATGAGTTTTCTTTGGCACAAGGATGATTGTGGTCTTCTTGGAGCAGAGTTCAGGTTAATATCAGCCATGATCTCATTGAATGGCAGATCAAACTGGAAGTGCCAAGTGGCCTACTCTGTTCCTTGTTCATATGTTCATTTCAGGAGAATGGAGAGCTGTTGGACCATTCAAAGGATACCCAGATCAGAGATGACAGATGTTTAATTGAGGGTTTCCATGCCTGAGGACCTGAGTCAGGGCGGAGGTGAGAAATGTTTTGGATGCTCAAGTGTCATGTGTTTGGGACAGGTAATGTGGACCTGTGCTTTTGTCAGCATTGAGCAATGTCATGGTGATGGATCACTAGCACAAAGTACCACGGACATTGTTAACTTTTACACGTATTTTAACTTCTGAAAAGAAGTCTACTGAACCGCAAAAGGTGACTGCCGATGTAAATTCAGTCTCTGTCCGACAAAGTCTTTTTTTTGCAACAGCGGAGCATCAGGGAAACCTGAAGCAGAGGCAGAATTGTAACAGGAAGAGATAGCTTTCGGTGAGAGAGCTATCTCTTGCAGAACTTTTGTGCTTTAGTCTTCCAGAAGTATAAGAAAAATGCAGCTAAAGACTGGCTGCAACACTACTCTGTGCGCATTCCTGGCCTTAGATCCTTGTGTGTGGACTTGTGTGTACTGCAAGGGTCACAGTTCTGAAAACAGTGATTTAAACACCCCTATGCTGCAGGTTAGAAAACAAGAAAGGCCTTTGCTCACTATGAGTGCTGCCTGTCAGTCACTGTTGAAAGCAAACAGGAGAAAAGAATTGGAATTAACTTACAAAACCAAGAATCTCAAAATTGACAGTGCACCTACCAGTGTCATTTCTACTGATAATCTCCACTGCAAGAGTCATGAGATTTAACTACCTGTCCTTCATGAGCATTCAGACCCAATCCATATTACCGTTAGTTATAAATTTTGTTTTGCGTTCACTTACGTCTTATTTCTAATCTGTGCTTGTTCGCAATGCCATGTTACACATTCTTCTGTTTAGTAATGAATAAACTCATTCTTTTTGTAGATTCAAGAAATCCTGCTAAGATTAGCGCCTTTTAAATCCTAAGGTCATTTTGGGTTTGGGAGAAAGGGATCCTTCTAAATTAAACGTTTTGCAACCATTCAAGCAGGCAGGCTTATAACCGAAAGGAACCAGTTCACTCCATCTCACCCAGGAGTTTAACTGGGCTTGAGCTCTGTAATCATGACAAATGGGAAATCTTTCCCAAAGACTGTTCATAACAGTTAGCAATACAGTATCAAAAGTCAGACCACATCAAAGTCAGACAACATCATTTCACCCATGACCAACCCTTACCCCTGACCCCGATTGATGATATTCTAGCATGTGGAGCACCGACCATTGTAGTGTGATCAAACAGAGCCAGTGATGGGTTAGGAAGAGCACAGGGGGAGAGCTGGAACTTCACCATGTAGTGTTGGGAGTATGGGTGAGCTGACACCTAACCTGTAGATAGGGCAGAAAAGGAGACAGGAATTAAAGTGTTTATTTATAGAACCAACGTAGGGCTGGGGGCTCTGGGGAGGTTGGGAGTGAAGGCTCTGAGGAGGCTGGGAGTGAGGGTCTGGGGAGGCCAGGAGTGAAGGCTATCAGGAGGCTGGGATTAAGGATTCTGTGTTGAGAATGAGTGAGGCATCTGGGGTGAAGGAGCTTTATAAAAACACAACGTATAAACAACAGAAAGTATTTGGGTTTATTCATTAAGATTTGTGAATGTGAGGTGCCTCAGTGTGGTTCTCTCTCTCTCTCTCTCTTAATGTCAGTGTGAATTTCTGTGCTTATAGGTAGTACTAAGTGTATTCATATGTGTATTCATTTGTACGTGTCTATCCAGATGCAATTATCTAACTGTGTCTGTTTGTGTTTGCAACTCCAATAGTGTTGTGAGCGAGATAGAGGACCTAAAAGGGGAATCTCCATTCACCTATTAAAGAACTTTGAACTTAAAACAGCAGAAGCCCCAGAGAAATATAAAATGTGCAAGAGGGAACTTATATGGAAATTAGAAGAGCTGAAGAAATCATACTGTCAGGTAAAAATAAAGGAACATCCTAAGTTGTTTTACAGGTGTATTAAGGATAAGAGGCTAACAAGAGAAAGACCAGAGATCATTACTGACCACAGTAGTAATTTGTGCCTCAGCCAGAGGATCTATGTAGGGTTCAAATGTTCACTAGTGAGAGGGATGATATGGGCATAGATATCAGGGAGAAGGTCCGTGATACAATTAAAGAAATTAGCATAGTCAGAGAGGAGGTTGTGAGTGGTCTGGCAGGATTAAAAGTAGATAAATTTCAAGATAAAATTTATCCCACACTGTCAAATGATGTCAATGAGGTAAGGGAGGAAATAACATGGGCACTTGTAAATATTTTGAATTCTTCTCTGGTCACAGAAAAGGTGCCGAAGGACTGGAAGACAGCCAATATGTTACTGCTATTCAAGAAGGGAGCAAGGGATAAACCAAGACATTACAG